AAACGAAGCATCGATGAACGTACCTTGAGCGATGATGAAGAGGCTTACAAGAAGCAAGTAGAACGAGCGAGAGAAGCTTGAAATCATTGCAGCGTGCAGGTTAGATAACCAACTGTAGTGATAACTTGTGTGTGAAACATGGCAGTATTTATAGGCGAGTAGACAACGGGAAGGAGAACAACGAGAGAATCGAGATCGAAGTGAGAAAGTGTACAAAGAGGTCCAGGTGCCTACAGTGTAAAGAGAATGGCCGGCAGCAAGAGAGCGAGAGAGAGAGGGGATTAGTACGGCAGGTTCACCCATGTAAAGTTGGTAGATGAATTGAAACGAAGAGAGATATCTGTAAGAATGAGATCTTGCAGAAAGAATTCGTCCGAAATAAAAAGAAAAGAAGAGAAAAGAAAAGAAAAGAGAAGAAAAGAAGAAGAATGTGAAAGTACCTGTTGGTTATATATGTAGAATATGAATGTAGATCATCGTTGTTATGTGGTGCCTGGACGCACTTTGATTTGTTCGAGAAGAATCTTTGATGACTTAGAACGCGCGAGCCGATCGTTTTATGAACTTGTAGAAACGTTGTGAGAGATTATCTGACTATTCACGGTTAACGGTGATTTAGTAAAGAATCGAAATCTGAGAAAGACATCGGATTTATTTTTATTGGTCGAACATAGATTCGTCTCTGTTGCGGCTTCCGATAGGTTCATTCGTTGTTTTGCTTTTCTTAACAAGTGTTTTGATATACACATTGATTTTCTCGTCCGAATACGTTTCGCTCTCTTTCTATTTTTCTAGTTGTCTTCAGAATGTAGATGTATATTAATGTATGCTCTACTGTGTTCTCGTTATATTTCACAGTGTTACTACCAGTATAACGGTTTTTTACTTTAGGTGACTTTTAATTTTACCACCGTGATTCAATTGACATCCAAATACACTGATTGATCTTGCATCATTCTGTCGATCATTCGGCAAGTTTTAAAGATGTGCATTTCCGTCAAGACGAAATTTTTGGTGCTCTTGCTGTTTGCTGGCTCGTTTACAAGTAAATAGAAATTATATTAAAGTTGTGAGAACGTGATAGAAATTAAATTTGTTGTTTTTTAGTGATAAAAGCCGCCAGCCTTGCACGGTAATAATTCTTTCGGCAATGCTTACATGTTCAGAGCTCCAGTTTTCATTTGTAGGGTCCGTGACGTCTGGGGCAATCAGTACTATGCCTGGGTATCAGATACTGGTTTTGGTGGTAATGGTGGTTCAAGCTCATGGAGTGTTATTGGTACCGGTGGTGCGGGGGGATGGGGCGGAAGTCTCTAAGGATGAGCAATGAGCAATTGAGATGAAGGCGACACTGTATTCGTATTGAAATGAAAATTTGTTCATAGTAAAATAAAACGTGTAGTGATACCTTATTTTGTAGTTATCCTTGTAAATATTGAAAACAAAAGAAAAGTCATTATGGTCGTAACGATCTACCGGCAANACACGAACGACTTCAGTCACTACAAATCTTTGACAGATGTTGTCAAAGCACCTGTGCTTAGTGACGATCTCGATTATCAACGTCATGTCAGTATTCGTCTGCACTGTTTCTCTTTCTTCAAAATCAAATCTTTGCTTTTCCTCAGGAATTTCAACATCAACACGAAACAGAAATCCGTGATTTCATTTCTAATACTGATATTCAGATTCACTCATTGAAAAAACACGCACTAGCAACGTACGAGTTGTACAAACGAGGCGGTCTCGATTATATGATTCGAGATAATTATCGGGTAAAGGATCATTTGGAACATTTGATGACTCAAGCGACAACCTTTCAAGATTGGTAAGTATCCATGTCAAAGAAGTGAACATGGTTAAGTTCGTGCCAATTTTTAGGGCAGTTATTCGTTTTGTATCGAGCTTATTACGGAAGATGGTTGACAGTTTAGCGCCAGCAGTTACCAATTTACTTGTTCGAGGAAAAATTGTATGTACTTCGTTTTAGTTACACATTCGATGATTTGATTTGCACTGATGATTGCATTTTTAGGTCACTCTAGGCATCTTCGGCTTCGAGGAAACAGTCATCGACAAACCGGTATATTGACATCAATATTTGCTGCTTTCTTTCGATTGAATCTTTCATTGGTAGATACGTCCGAATGAAATTTATAAAATACTTTATAACGATAATATCTTCGGTCGAAGTATATTTCATGCTGTGCTCCTTCAAGAAGTTCTTATCAATGTTTCTCTTTTCATGAACACATATCCGGTTTGTTGAAAGAGTTCTCACATCGACTCTCATTCGTATATATTGTTTTCGTTTTCAGCAATTATTCAATGGTATTCTCAAAATTCGACTTGGGTATGAGAATATTTCAGTTGAAAACTTTCGTTAATCCATATATGTTTTTACAGATGGATGTTGGAAGCAATGAAACTTGCTCTCGACTATCTCAGAACTGATCCGGAAGAAGTTGTGGTACTGTACCTTCTATCCTAATCTTCATTCGAAACTGTGATCTTTGTCAATTTAGACATTGAATGTCATTTCACCAAATAATATCAAACAACTATTGGATTATGTTTTAACTACACAACAAAGTGGGGATATCGAACAACGGTAGACTTTTTTTGACAAAAAAGTAAATTATAACATTGACGGAATAGGTCATCATTTCAAAAACGACAAATGGATGGAGCATTATCTCGTGTTCCTGTACATTTCTATGAGCACGTTTGGTCGATACTCGAACGTACACCCGGAGGAATCAAACTATGTGGTATTTTGTTACCACAGGTAGAATTGAATAGTGCACGAGAAAGAGAAGATAAATTCATTTTGGGTTTGTTTAGCAACCAACATTATCGGATATGACCGATTATGAATTGAACTTTTCATTGAAAATTGAAGAGATGCTTAGTTTGATCGCTGATCCAGCATACCGTTGTCTTGTTGTCGAAGTAAGAACATAGTGACTTTTTCCTTATGTTTTATAATTGTTGTTCAAATATTTAGATGTTCGAAGCGGTCAATGTACTTCTTAATCGGAACGAAGAATTGCGATTTTTTCGACCATTAGATGTTGATTATCTCATCAGTGAAGCGGTTAAATTATTCGTTCAACAAACCACTTCAGAAAATCCTTATCCAGACTTTTACAATCTTCCAATTACTCTTGTCGGTGGCTCGACTGGCTATATGATTCGAGTTATTATCAACTACCTATTCAACGCTACTGCTCAGCCATCAGACACTCCAAATCTCGATGTGAGTGCGCACAGAGATATATGCAAAATTTCATAGCTCTTCGTCACAAAAACAAACATTAGCATAATGGTAGTGTGAGCTTCGCCATCTTTTCAAGAATTCTTCCAAAGTTTTTTGTGCTTCAGCATTGGCTTTTGCCATCTGTTTGACTAGAATATAAAAATAAGTAAATACTATATACTCTATTCCCACATTAATGTTACTTACTGTAGGTTGCTTCGTATGTCGTAACTGTTCGACCATCTGCCAGGAGCGTCATATTGACATGCTTCTTTGCAACTAGAAAAAGAGTAACATTTGCAAGCGAAAAGTGTGAACAAAAATGAACTAATGTTTGACTATAGCAGTCTCATTTAAACGAAGCAGTTCGACTGTTCGGTAGTGTACGTCTGCATATTATATGTACAGAGCTTATCTTCGTAGGCCTATGCATATTTTGTACCCGGAGAGAATCCTACACAGAAGAACTGCAGCACCGTTTTACCTATCATATATGTCATCCATTAAAATATCTAGACGTATATTGATTTCTACTTTGACGAGATTAATTCGATCGAATAAAGACCATTCAGAATCCGTAGTTTATCAAGATGCTCATGCCTCCTTCTTCGTGTCGAGACCATTTTCCTGACAAAATAAAATACAGAAAATCCAACGATTCATCAGAGATGCCTAACTAGTTAGTTGTCGGCGTGTAACCGCAGCGTTATCATCAAATGCGATTGTATTGTTTTTTCTTATGTAAATTCACTTACCTCACTGCGATACATTCATCAGTATAGTGAACCAGCAGAATACTCATCTTCATTTTCTATATCACGCAATCATGATGTCATGGAAATTCATAAAACTTGATACGCAGCACACCATCATTGTCATAGTTTACTGTACAGAAGAGAAAAGGAAAATACATATGTGACGGTTTCTGACGGCAGACACGTGTGCGCTGATGGATATACGCATTTATTTTTTCTTCTAGAATCGCAGGCCAAGGCGCAGCGGATCGATATATGTATGACACCAAAGACATAAAAGCAATGATTCATTAGGTGAAAAAAATAAAAAGATTACTGAAAAATGTCATCCGTTAATAATGTACCTTGTGCTAGTTGTTCAAGACCTAAATGAGAAAAGAAAACTGACGATTCAATTACAAAATCTTCATCAACTTATCTATGGTCAAACGTTCGTGCGAAATGGGTTCAAAATCAAGATCTGTTATTATGTAAAATGGTCGCATGGAACTGTCCATTCAACATGCGTGTGTTCTTTAGAATCTCTGTTCTTAGAAATTATCGTGACACTGACAAGGATGATGACTGGTAAATTTTCGTATCTTGCTTTTTTCTTTGAATATTCTGAATTGTAGATCGTAACTTGGTATGTTAGGTCTGACGCTTCCATTGTTATCGCATTCTCCTCTGGTCTAACACATACTTCCATCTTTTTCTCGGTCATTGTCTGATTACCCAAGACATGCGCTTTTAAGCATGACAATCTGTGCGTATTGAATAGAAAAGAGCGCTGTCCGGTTACTTTCACTTAGTATTTCGTTCATCAGACTTGAAAAACTAACTGGATTTCCGTGTGAATGTATTTTTTTAAACTGGGAAAAACATGAGGAAAACATTCGTGTGGAGACTATACCGATAGTTCGTGAAATATTCTCAGATTTAATTTGTTGTTGGCTATTCAATGTTATAGATTCAAGCACACGTTGCACTGAGTAACTAAATATTTTGATGAAGTTGTCGAGGAATGAATTGATGTGGACATGTTGTAAAATATGTCATTATTTTACTTGTTCTTTCATACGGTTTTATTCTCATTTCCTTTCATTACACTCCATTTCTTCTCGAAATCACTTGTTACGATTATTATTATTATGATTTAACGAAGAGAAGCTCGACAAGTGCTTTTCTATTTGTGCGTGATTGTATAAAGAAAGAAAGAAAGAAAGAAAATGAGTCTGTTTATATTGTTGATATATAAGACTTGTTGCGAAGACAGATTGAAAGCTTTTTCCTTCTGATTGACATTCTGCAGTTAACCATATTGAAGTTCAGTTTGTCTACGTCATCAACATGGCTAATCTACTTCGAAAGGGGTAAGAGCAAAGCTTCATTTTCTGAAAAGCCTTCATCTATTCTCGAATGTAGAGATCATGCCGAAGAATTTCTGTCATCTACTAATAAACTTCCGACGTCAACAGCAACCGATGGTGGTATTTCGAGAAAGACTGATAAAGCTGCATTGAATACGTGGGATGTAGCACAACGCTGGATTCAAAGTGTTTCCAAAGAGGAATCAACGAGAAAACAATGGGAACAAATGTACGGTTGGATGGCTGATTATGATGCTAAAGTATTCTATTCACTAATCACGGATTCACATGTGATTCTCATTGTTTCGTAGGGCAACTTTGTTCCAAGAAAACAAGTCATCGAAAATACTTCACGCTTTTCACACACGGTATACATTGATGGAATTTTTTCCTTGCTTTGCATCGGAATGTTTGTATTCTCTCTTCTAGATTCCTAATTCCCGTGGCCATGATTACGGCTGGCGTTTACAAAATGATACGGGAAAAAATATTGCAACATTACAAGGATGTTTTAATAATCAACACAAGAAACGTCGATCAGATGTCATACTTGGATCTGATTAGACACGCAAAACATATTTTCTACCAAAGTTTTATTCTATATGTTGATTTCGCTGATCGCGATTTGGACTCTCTTACAATATACTGCTAAATTCCGGTACTCTAGAGTTAAACATAGCAACGATTGTATTAAGAGAGCCTACGTCATCGACATAGATTTATCGAACATGCAAACTAGTATTGTTACATGTATATGTCAATTAGAATGACGGAGTAATTTGTTGTACATTAAAAGGCTTTTCGCATCCAACTCTCTATCTCTATGAAGCTAATCAGCTCATAAAAAGCGTCATGAAAATCGATACTTCAAAGATTATTTACAATGATTTTATCGATAGAGAAGAGTGATGCCACAATAACAATATTCCGAATATCGCTCTTGAAACACACGTATGCATTCTCAAGAAGAAAATAAGACAATAGTTTACCGTTTCGATCTCGAAACATAAAGTAGACGACTGTGGAGAATTTTATTCGACTTTAGCACGCCGAAGGATCCGAAGTCAAAAATCCTTTCCCTGTAAGAACAAACCGTAATTTGGAAGTACATATCATGCTGACACTGAGCTCAATACATGAGAGTCTTGGAAATCTTATATTGACGGGGTGTACACACATTTCTCAGGCTGGCCGTAAGTTATATGATGAGAACGAAAGGGCGTGAGAGTATTAAATATTTTAGAGGATTATTCAAACTTCATACATACATATATAAATGGATATTTGAAATCCAGTTTCAAGTCTTAGACTACAGCACTTTGGAGCAGATAGCATTGATCTTTTTCTTTTTGTACTTTCTACCGGAATATTTTTATTCTCCTTTTTAGTTTCCTGGAAAATGATTACAACAACAATACAAGAAACGTCGATCAGAGGTCATATTTGTATCTGATTTAACGCGCAAAAACGTATTTATCATCACAACTTAATCCCGTATCGTAGTTTTGCAGATCGAGATTTGGGATTTTCATCAAGTTCGTTTTCATCTGCTTGAATGACATGTTTTGTTTGTATATCATAGCGCAGTTGTTTTTCTGCTTCGCTACGTTGTGATGTACCTTCCAGATTGGAAGAGAATTCATCCGGATGTAAAACGATTCCTTGAAAATGCCGTTTAATAATGCGGTCTTCTAGTGAATGAAAACTTATGCATAATAATGTGCCACCAGACTTCAGTAGTCTGCAATTGGAAAGAACAGTAGTTAGATAAAAGAATTTATTATTGTACGTACGTATACGCTTGTTCTAGTCCGTTGTATAGTTCATTGAGTTCATCATTGACAACGATTCTCAATGCTTGAAAAGTTTTTGTTGCTGGATGAATTGAACGATTTAGTTTATCGACATCTGATGTTCTAAAGATGGTCAACTAATGCATTAGAATGAAAAGGCTCCGATTGTAGTACATGATACTTTACTTTCCACCAAGACCGACCTGAATGACATTGGCCAATTGTGTTGTCGTGGTTATGGGTCCGAATGTACTTCGCCATTGAAAGATGCATCGTGCAATCTTTCGATGGCGTCTATCTTCACCATATAGACGAATAATTCGACTCAATGTTGCTTCGTCGACTCGGTTAACAAGATCATAAGCAGTAACCGATTGAGTACTTGTATTCATTCGCATATCCAGTGGGCCGTCATGTCGAAAACTGAATCCACGTTTTGCAGTATCCAATTGCATTGAACTAAATAGAATGGGTGAACGTTCAGCGAAGCATTTTCTCAATAGTTTACCTTGTTCCAGCATCGAGTAGAATACCGTCGAAATAATTTTGCTTGTTAGGAAATAGGCTCGTCAATTCACTGAATCGCGCGTGAAATGGAAACAGTCGATTTCTATCACGTACAATTTCGATCAAATTCAAACAAAATTTGCGCTTTCATACGGATATTCTTTGGCCATTTTGTTTGCTAATTCGACTGCATGCGGATCACGGTCAAGTGCATAAACGATTGATTTTTCATTTTGATTTAAAAGGCCGCGAGTATGTCCACCAGCACCGAAGGTTAAATCCAAGAAAATCTAATCCAGATTGGTTCAATTTACTCATTTGAACGCAAACACATACTTGTTTTTCCGCCCGAGAGAAAACTCTTAAGACATGTTCAAGTAAAACAGGAATATGAAGAGTTGTCTTCGTCATTTCTGGTGTTTTTTCAAGTATGTCATAGAGAAGCAATAAAAGAACGTTAAGTAAACTTTAAGATTTATTTTCTGCCCTGTCTGTAAATTTTGCCACTGAAAGTAAGAAAAAAAGCTGTTTTTTACAGCGTAATCAGCATGATTTTAATTTTTATTCAGAGAGTTTATACCTTACGGAATTGATTCAATCGAATTTGCAATTACGACGACCTGTTATGAAATCTAGAATGCAGGAAACCGAGAAAGAGATTAGTCATGGAACAATATCAAGAAAAACACAAGCTGTATCGTTTGATTTCACTGAAGATGATGATATGGATATCGATATAAAATCATCGACTGATTCTGAGGAAACGTTAGAAGACTTCACTTCGAATGGTAGAAACAACAAACAAAAAGGGTAAGAAAAATAATAACAATCAAATTCAATTAAAAGTATTTTATTATTCTTTCTTTAAGACACATTGCCGATGCATCTGCATTCAAAACTAAAAGAAAAGTTGTTCCAATGGCGGTTTATGGTTATGCAAGCACGATTCATCAAAACCGACTCGATGAGGATGTCTCTGCTATATTGGGTTCGAGCGATCCACCAGCAGGATTCGGAAATCTACATCCTCCTGTTCACTATCTCAGACAACAACGCCCTTTTCCACTCGATCCACTGCCAGTCTGTATTTTACTCTGTCCTAGTACTACTCATGATATTTTCTAGGTTTGGCGTGGTTACAATGGAAATATTTATTTCTCTCCTATCCAAGTACAATCCTTGCATAATGATCAATCACTCTCACCTGTAAAATCGCAGTTTGGGAAAAAAATAGACAATAAACAACCAGATTGCACCCATTTACCCACATATAAAAATAGAAAAGTGGTAGAAGAAAACACAAACATTACCACAAATCACGAAGCTGTGCAGCAACTATTTAATCATACAACACAAGACGACGATGCGGAAGATCAGGAGCCAACGAAGCAGCCATGGCTCTCGATCCTTACTACTTCTCTTACACGATCAAAACCTGTATGGAGACCAGGTCAATTGCCAAAAGATGATCCAAGTGAAGAGAAATCGTCAAAAGACAAACGACAGATATTACCAAATATACGACCAATACCCAAACCGAAACTCATCCGTAGAGGTTTAGCTTATAAAGAAAGTAAACAACGAGCCAGTTTTACGAATCAAATCAAATCTGATACTTGCCAACAAGCATTCAATCTAAATGAATCCCATAGCCAAAAATCAAGCCATCCGACACAAGCCAGACACAATCATCATCAGCCGTCGTTCACTAGACGAACGAGTAACTCCACGAAAGATCAAGCATCAGTCGATTTACGCGAAATCAGAAAACGGATCATTAAAGGCCCCACCACTGCGACTTCTTTTCATACTCCGGCGCAACACATGCCACGGTTGCCAAGTCCGATTGAGCATAAACCTCTATTAAATCCTAGCATGTATCTGCCTGATCAAGTTTTCAATTCGTCAAATTTGACGGCGGCCGCATCATCTGTAACGCCTCAACATCAGTTCAAACACAACGCAGCATACACGACACCAAATCTCTCACAATATTTTGAAGTTTACCTAACAAATAACAATGTAAATATCGCATGATTCAAACAGACAGTCGAGTTCGCTGGTTTCTCATACAAAAAGAATTTCCAAGAACAAAGATCACATTTGTAAAAAGATGATTAAGAACTTTTATTTTGTTTGATGTATATTCAAATGGATGGATGATGTGTAGAAAAAAAGCTAGCAACAATAACATACACATACACACTTATATAGAACAATTGCACACCATAAATGTTTTGTAATTTGTAATGTATAAACATGAAGACAGAGAAAGGAAATGATGGAACTCGAATGAAAGAAAAACAACGATTAACGATAATTATTAATGAGAGACATGCAGATGTTCGTTTTGTCTTTTGCTCAATCTTCTCATACGTGTAGACTGTTCAAGACAAGTATAGAAATGTACAAAAGATTAAACGAATTGACAGATTTGCGTAGTAACAAAAGTATCAAACAGTTAAGTGTGTGATTTCATTGAATTATTAGAGAGAAACAGAAGAAGAAGAAGAAAAAAACAAATATTCACTGTTAATAGCGATGAGTTAACAGGCTGGAATTAAGTGTTAGAGAGACATGAAACGAAAAAGAAACAGATCTATTGTATACATAGAGATTTGAGTGGAAGCTTTTGAGAATAATATAGTAGAAAAAGAATATATGAACTCTTTTAGAGAGCTTGTCGATGAATTCTATCTGATTTGATCGGAAAAGTAAGTTGCCAGTGAAGTTCAATTACGTCTAAACAATGGAACACTTATGCACGCTTTCAAAGTTAAGAGAAGATGCGTTACCTCGCGATAGCTTGGTTCTGCTTGAATCATAAATTCATCGAAACGCATGTAGAGCGTTTCAAACGTCGGCCGGTTTTCTGGATTGTCTTGCCAGCAAGAATACATTATTTGATAATAATAATCCAAACAATCGTTCGGCTACAATAATAAAAAAAAACGAAGTTGCAAAGATAGTCATTCATACGTAGCTTACTTTTGGCATGCGATAGCCGTTGAGTACAGCTTGCAGAGCTTCATTATTTGACATTCCTGGATAAGGATTTGAGCCATGTGTGATTAGCTCGTAGAGAAGAATACCGAAACTCCACACGTCTGATTTTGTTGTATACTCCTTTTTAGTTGCGGCTTCAGGCGCAGTCCATTTTATTGGAAATTGAGACTCTCGATCGACCATAAGTCGACCACCTTGAAGGATTTTAGCCAACCCGAAATCAGCAATTTTCACAACATCTGATTCTCCAACGAGAATATTTCGCGCTAAATGAAAAGCGTCAACGATAATGAATAATTCGTATCAAGCAGAAATCTCACCAGCTAGATCACAATGAACATATCGTTTTTGCTCGAGGTAAGCCATTCCTTTCGCAATCTGTATCGGATGCGTAAAAAGAAAAAAGGCAAGTTGACATCGTCGTCACTTACTTGTGCAGCGAAGTCAAGAATGACCTTGAACTTCATGTTTTTTCCTGGTCCGTCACGTAGATAATTCAATAGACAACCATTTGCCATAAATTCTGTAACAATGGAAAGCGGTCCTTGCTGCGTGCAAACACCGTACAATCGAACAATGTTTTTATGTTGCAGATCTTTCATAATTTTTGCTTCGTCGAGAAACTTATCCACATTACATATACGATTCTTATTATCAGTCTTCATGCATTTAATAGCAACATCACGTTGCCCATATTTGCCTTTATAAACTTCGCCATAGTTTCCTCGACCCAACAACTCTGTTTGTGAAAGTTGTGTACGATCCAATTCTAATAATCCGTGTCGATCGGCGGGAACAGTTGGTTCGATTTTTCGACAAGATCGTGTCAATAAACAACACAAACCATCCACATTTGCTAAAAAAGAAAATTCGCAGACTGAAGGCAAAGAACAAAAGCTTCTTCCTCATACTTTGGTAATGATCCACAAGATCTTGTAAAGACGGAAAAGTTATTTTGCTGCTAATATAATAATATCCTTGATCAGTTCGTCGTATACGGTAATGTTTAACATGAAAATGTTTATCATTACTTAAATCAAGTACAGATAATGATTCTTGACCTTGAAATGTGAAAATAGAATCATATTTTAAAACCATTCGAGAAAATATCTGAAAAAAAGACGACATTACCTTGATTTGTATCCGAAGGTCGAATCAAAAACGTGCCTTTGCCATTATGCGGTTGTTCAAGAAAACGTTCTGCATCGCGACGGTTCGTTTCGGTGAAATACCATCTAAACAAAGTCGAACATCATCATCCGAGTCTATAAACTCGATCGAGCTTACTCGCATGCAGTCAGATCATTTATAGCCGAAATGTAGTTTGCTGGTACATAACCGAGTTGTTTGGTGCGTAAATTCTTCGCTTGCCACCAATCGTTATAACTAGAAAGACATTTTCAAAGAGACATCTTGAACGTACAATCAAATAGGAAATACTTACGAATATCTATCGAGTATTTCTAATCGGTCACCTTTACGAAAACTCAATTCATTAGCCGATGATGTTCCATTAAAATCATAATTAGCCACATAGATTAATTTATCTTTAAATGAAAAACATCGAATGTATTTTGATTACAGAAAAAGCCCAAATATCTCGTGTTTTACTTGAATTCGATCTGCTATAGATGTCTACTTTGGCCGCTGGTTCTGATGCATAACCGTTTCTATTCTGTTGACGAGTTCCTGTTAGAGATGAATCTTGCTTTCGCTTGTTATCTCCGCCGTTACTACCACCGTTTCTTCGATAATCATTGCCACGTTGACTATCTGTGTACACATAAGCATTGTCACGTTTTCGACGTGAACCACCACTTCGATTTCCCATCGATAAATAATATTTACAAAAACAGAGAATAGCAATGGGATGTCATTGATAATAAATGTCAAACTATAAATCTGCAAAAGAAATACAAGTTAGAAAACAATCTGACAATGTCAGTTGTTATTCTCTCACACGATATGTATGTACACACATATACATACATGACATGAATGCTGTTCAATAAAATTAAGCGATCGGATGATTTTAACCAATCGAATATGATTATAATTTTCTCGAAATTATCCTCGACTTTTCTCTGAGGAAATATTTTGAATGAAATAGATCATTGTTTTTTTATTTTCCTATAAACCAATTGTAAGAACAAAACGAAACAATCTTACAAAGAGTGACATCTATTCGAATACGTTGAATTCCGCATTTTTTAATCATTCCAACGATGACCACATTGCACACACTTATAAAATGTTGTCATCGGCTCATCAGCTGAACGAGTTTGCAACTGCATGAAATATGCTTGCGTATGCGCACATTTGGGACAGGTTACTTCCGTTTTGTCAACGTTCTCCCAAGCCGCTGCACCTCCAAGAACGTCATCGACTGGTTTCAAACGTGTGTATTGTCGATCGGTGATTTTCGTTTCTATATTACATATGTATGGGCAAGTATTACATGCTAAGCGATTGCGTCGATCTCCTTCTTCAACAAACAGCATATTACCACAACGTGGACCTAAAAAGGAAGAAGAGAAGAATGAAGATTCTGTTATTGCTCGATTATTGTTGAGTTTGATTGGAAGGAAATAACATATGTGATTTTTCATACTCTATCCTCTCTTTATCGATCAGACGAACTATCTGCCTAGCAGATAAACATTGACTCGAGTGTCTAAGTAAACAGAAATACAAAAAGCGTCGCACAGCACGTTTTAATGATCTATAGACAAATCGAAATCTCTTCATAAAACTTAACTTACAGAAAAACATTGGAGTTTGTTGCTGGAACGAAAAATCTTATCTAAAACAAAGCAAAACATATAACTTGCCGATCTGGTAGAGAGAGAGAGAGCGTATGACGGTGAACGATCGTCGTCCTTCGTTTATTCGACTAATTTCACCTACAGATGTATATATGACAGAAGAATAACTGTCTTGGTTGATGTCGCTCTAACACGGTCTGAGTTCTCCAATCTATCATTCAATTATATAACTATACATCCAAATGTCGATATCGTTTCCATTTTTATGAACTCGTTTACGTAAAAGCCCTTCATAAGTAAAACCACACTTTTCTACTAAGGCTTTTGATGCTGTATTCCAGACATAGATTTGTGCTTCGATACGGACCAGATGTTTGTATTGAGTTCTTACTATTTCAAGAACCTTTTTCACTACAGCTGATGCGATACCACGACGCCAATACGGTTCAGCTAACCAATATCCAATCTCGGCCACTCTTCTATTTGATTCAGAGCCATGAATACCACACGATCCTATCATTTCATCGTTCACTTTTAGACGAATTGTAAAAAAGTGATCAATATCTTTTTTGGATTCATTGACTATTTTCATATAATCTTCTCCATCTTTTGCCGTGTATGGATAAGGCACACGCAATGTATTTGCATAGATATTTGGATTATTCAAGTACTTCACAAGTGAAGGAACGTCATTCTCAGTTAAAACGTCATTTAAATAGATTTCATCATTAATTTCATAATGACTAGAAGACATATCTAGAAAAGAAAATATGAGTTTTTATTGAAAGCTTAGATGTATGGTATGCAAAAGTATTTAAGAAGAACGTTAGTCAATGATGAAATGTTATGCAAGTACTTTGGTTCGAATTTCTTCAGCTTTCTTCTCGTTAGTTAAACGTGATAAAATTTTTAAACTGAATTCGATTGCCGTCGCGGGTCCTTGACTCGTAATTAAACGACGATGATTCACTTCGCTGTCGACGACTGACTGATCTAATTTCACGGATTTAAATTGGTTCTGAAGTAATTTCGCCACCTCAGGATAACAGGTGACATCATGTCGACGAGCATTTTTCTCTGCCGTACACAAATGTGCGCTCAGTGCAATGGGGCCCGCACATATGGCAGCAACGATTTTATTTGCTTTATAATGATCGAGAAGAATAACACCGGCCTTTTTACATGCTGTAATTTTATCGGTACCTTTACTGCCTGAATAGAGAATATCTCAAATTTCTTTTTTTTCTTCTTAGAGATTTCTATTTACCACCCGGTACAATTACTGCATCAAATTCTTGCCCTTGGACATCGTCTATATGTAAATCAGGTACAATTTGAATATTGTTAGCACATGTTAACGGCTTTTCATCGTTCTTTTCGACACTACATAATTTAACATCGACACCACCTCGCCGTAGAATATCAACTGTAGCGACAACTTCAATGTCTTCTGAACCATTGGCCACAAATACTAATGCTTTTTTGCCACCGCTCCTAATAGAAACATATACATATAAATATACATGAGTTAGCCTATATAAGCCACGACCGAACGTACACAATCGAACTTCTCAGGATTTCCTCAATTATTTTTATATCAGCCGACGCCTTACTCTACATGATATAAAGTAATTGAGAAAATCCTAAGAAGTTCGATTGTGCACGGTTGGTCGTGGCTTGTATGAATTGATTCATAGATATAACACCAAAGAATAAAATCTGCGATCAGGTGTTTCTTTCCTTTTTTTAATACAGAAGATTATTTTTTGCACCACAAAAGATACATAAAGACACACATAAGCAGAAGGAGAAAAGAGAAAGTACAAATTATCCTAGAGAAAAACATCTTATCCATGTATGAGATCATGCATATAAGCATAAATATAATTATTTATTTGATTTTTTCCTGCTTCTGTTTTTTTATATCTAAATTTTATTTGATATTAACTGAAGGAAGTGTTCGTCGTTTGGTGGCCGTAGGTCGAGCGTTCGCTGATGACGACAGTGAAGGATGCATTGTTGACGGTGGAATGATTCCACCTGCCGGTGGAAATATTGGACGAGAAGAAGCAACAGGTGTTTGCCGCACTGCAGTCTTAGGCGCTTTGATCATCTGATTTATTTTCTGTGTTTGTTGTTGTTGCTGCTGCTGTTGAAGTAGAGCACCTGATGGACGATACTGTTGATGAGTTGGCATAGGTGGTTTAGTCTGTGGGAGCGAACGTATATTATTTGTTGCGTTCATTTGTGGTGGAATGATAGAACTGGATTTTCGTGCTGCATTTATTGGCAACTTTGGTTGTTGAGAAAGTTTCGTTGCGAAATTTTGTGCTTGATGAGGTATCGGTGTTTTTATTTTCGGTTTCTGATGTTGATGATGCTGCTGATGATTGTTGTTGTGGTGATGATGATTATGATGGTTGTTATTACTTTGAGTATGATTAGATGTGATGACTGGTGGGACTGGACGATTATTAGTTACTAGTTTTGCTGTTGCTGAAGGTGACGAACTCGTCGAAGACGGTGTTACCGAACGAGGCGCAGTCTTTTGTTGCTGTTTAATAAGCGCTTGAAAGGTTTTGTCAATTTCTTTCTCTTGTTCCATGGCTGACACGAAAACGCTCTTCAAGAGAGCTGAATGTTCAGATTTGGCTGTTCGTCGTGTAACCTGTTTCTTACAGCGATCGCATAAGATATTAATCTGTTGATTATTATTTAAATGTTTCCACCAACGTATTGTGTTATCTGTTCCACAATGTTCACATATATTTGGTTCATCAACTTGTGCTCGATCGGTAAAGCGTTGTGGAAGACGTTGACGATCGGTTTGTAACTCTGATAAACATTGTACAACGTCTTCGAGGCCCATGTATGGTAGAAACTCAAGACTAGTAGGATTTGGAATAAATAGAACATCTTGGATTAATGGTTTCGGCGATGGAATGTTCAATAGGTCACGTTCAAGTTGATTACGTAAAGCTTTTTTCGCTTGTGTTTTACGTTCTTCAAGTGGTTGAATTGCTGATGAAGGTTTAGTTGGCAGAGGTGTAGGTATTTTTGTTGGTAATGGAGCATTGACTATATTGCCAGGTTTACGTGTTGCCGATGATAATGGCTGAGGAAGAGACGAACGCGAGAGTGAAGAATTTGCTGATGAAGAAATAACAGGTGTCGAGGGTTTATTAGTTGGAACACGTGCTGCCGCTGCTGCTGAATAAAAGCCATTGGTTGTAACAGGAGCAGTGATCGCATTGGTATTATTAGTGTTATTATTATTTGTTCGATTTGCTGATTGTTGACATGAACGCAATTTTTTCAATAGAACTAAATTCGCTTCTTCATTTCGTAGTTCTTGTATGATTGAATGAAGTTTTAAACGTTTCAACGATCGTATATTTTCGTTATTGGAAAGTATATTTGTCGGTTCAGGTGACAAAGGTCGTTTGTTCGACATGATATTCTATCTGAAATTCTTCGATTTGTTCATTTGACGAAGAGAATAAAGTTTTTTTTTTCACGAAAATGCCCTTTCTTTATTGTTGATCAAACACAGAAAAGTTATCTATGTGCATACATACCATATATTAATGGTACGTTTGGATAGCGTAGAAATTGATTGTTGAGTTAAAGTGTATCGTAGCATAATATCTATCTAGAATACAACAAGATGATATATCGAAAAGTGACAGCGACGAATAGACTTCGTCTTCATTTCTTTTTCTAGATAATATCACCACCCTCGTGACTGTACCTGTATTGTGAGCGCATATATGTAGTACAGCAACAGTAAGAGAGTAAGCAAGAAGGGTAAAACTCAACGGGGCCGCTACCAGCCAACTAACGTAGTAAGTAACCCTCCATTTTTTCTATCATCCCTCAATACGGAATTTCGTTCTTTCTTTCCTCCCTCTCTCTCTCTCCTGCTCTTTTTCCATCGACATTGCCGTCGCCACCGTTGTCTCGGTCAAATCCAAGTTTCTTATTGACTGACGTTCGTCGATATTTAACTGTACAATGGAATGTCGAAGATAAGGAATAAAGCCGATCTAATTAATTTTCTCAATTTGAACATGACGAAAAAGTTGAAATTCTCTAAAACATAGATACACACACACACACCTTAAAGCGATAAAAAAAGAAGGTAGTTTTGTGGTGATGGCAATAAAGAAGCCAACATTCACATACACCTACGTCGAGAGGCAAACGCAGAAAAAGATCGACGTAGACAGAAGTCTAAAGAAAGAATAGTCGAGTGAAAAGACAGAATACGATGACGAATGTAAGGGACCGGCTGAGTATGCGAGCGACACCGTGCAGAGAAATGTGACGATTTGTTTCCTCAAGCGTGCAAAAAAAAAGGAAAAAAGGAGCAGACAGGCTGAATATAGACTATGAACATCAGTTGTACATATGCACATCTGTACATATGGTCATAGGAGGAAAAAAGAAGGACGATCATTTATAATGATTTCTTATATTCTTTCATTAATCAGATTAAAGATCTTTTAATTTGTTCAAACGATCGAACAAAGTCTGAAGAAGTTTCTTTCAACGAGAATTCGTTTGAAAGCTCAATCGAATAAAACAAATGCGGAGATGGTACATCTTCCTTACCTATTTTGGCGCCAGGAACTTTAATTACAGTCAGCGAAGGATAATCGAAAAGTGTCTGACTGAATACGAAGAAGAAGTAGAACATTTGCTCATCAATCTAATCGATTCATGTTCATGAAATATCATCTTGAAGATAACAATGACTGGGTTATCTAATGACGATACTTTTTCTTGATGGGTATGAAAGAGAAGTACGATTGTGCGCACTCTGAATTGGCTGGCTCGTTTACTTGCTTATGCTCTCACAAGATGGAAAATGGATGGTGATGGGAGGGGGAAAGAACGCGAAAGAGAACATGCCGTGTCGAACGCCGACACAAACGACGCCTGTTTCAACAAAACGATTGACCTCTTACTGTCGACAAGAAAAGAAAAGAAGAAAGAAGAAACACGAATATAATCATAGTTACTAGTCTACTGAAAATCTTCGAATTTCGAATAATTTATCATTAATTATTCGTTTATTCATCTGATATCTTTCATCAATATTCGGAAGTTATTCGAACGAATAAAATTCGCACAGTTGAAAACAAAAAGTAGACAAATATGAAGCAAAAGAAGAAAGAATTCAGTTTCGATTTCCTTCGTTTTTTCGTTTCAGTTCTTTCTTTGAAAAAAAAACATAGGAGATAAATAACAACTTATCCGAAAAAACAAATGTTAAATCCTTCGTACAGACAGAGGGCGGGAGAACGAAGAAAGAGAAAGGGGGAAAAATACCCATTGGAAGATCACTGATCCAGTTGATTGTGCAGAAAAAAAAACATCTCGCTTTCTCTCTTCTTCTAGACCAGTGGCGGCGCCTTAAAATTCTTCAAGAACAGAACATATATCTAAACAACAAAAATCTTCGATGTCGGAACCGCCGCTACCAAGTGTTCGTCGACAACTTTTATTTGCCAAATACCGACCATTGATCACCACACCTTTCTTCTTTGGATTCTCAACTCATGTTCTTTCGCCAGCGTTGTTTTCTAGGTTTGTGAAGTTCTGTTTCGTAAATAAACGAATTATTTCTCGAATAGATTACTTAGTTCGCGTTTTGACATACCAATAAGCAACTTGCTTCTGTTTGGATCGCATGTAGGCGTTACGAGCTATTTGTACACGTCTAAACATCTGAGGAAAGCTCACATGTTCGAACGGCTTTTATACAGGTAAAATAATCACATTGGAGCTTTTCGGCATTCAGTTTCTGCGTCTTAGTATTTATGGTTCGGCAATGTTTAACTTTGGCACAGTCCTAGTCATGTCAATCATTCGATCGATTTTTCCTGATAAGGAACCACTACGTTTAGGAATAGGTTTGTCAACTGCTGTGGCTTTACTAGCTATTGGAAAGAAATATGTCAACTATATCGATCAAGTTTTCGAAGCCGTTCGCTACCGATCGATCCCACGATCGTAAAATTGTTTAATCTGAGTGTGTTCTCGCATGTTCTAGTCCTATATAGTCACGTCTGTAGCTGTTAGTGTGCCAGCTTAGATATTGTATTTTAAGTCATTTTGAACATTCATTTTGAAAATCACAGATCTTTTTTTTTTACACGAAAAATGAATTATTTATATAAACACTTTGATTGGATCTAATAAAGGAATAATTGTATGGAATATGAAGTTGATTATCGTCGGTAAGAGATTGAGAATGAATCGATGATGGTTCTTCTTCTTCGATGTTGTGTAAAATATGATGTTCTTGTGTTATAAATGTTGGATTTAAATGATATATCGAACTAGGGTTTGTTGTAACACTGCGGCTGCTGTCATCGCTATCGTCTAATCCGAATAGATTCTTTTGTTGCTCCATGGTTGCTTGACGAAGTTGAGGAAGATGCCGAGTATTTTTTGCTAAACTTCGTTCACGCATTAGAAAGCGCGGTGCATGCGATCGCTGATGTGTATGAGGCGGTGGATGTTCCTGTTCGAAGTAATTATACGAAGTCCATCGATTGTTCGTGGATTGTCGATATTTATAATCAGGATATGTTTCACTTGAAGTCGAATGAAGATCGATAAACAAATACGAATTCAATTTATTCACATCAGTTGTTTCCAGCGATAATGATGATATATCATTGACATATGTATGGTGAGAATGAGGCAACGGTGAAGTAGCATTTGAGAGATTCTGGCGGTTGGCAAATGTCTCTTCAGGTGTTGTGCTTGGTGTATCTGGAGTTCTAAGCTCATGTTGAATACGAAGTAGTCGACAAAGAAAAACGATAATTATGACGAACAGGATGCTCAATATAGCGATTATACATAATAAAACGATAAATACCGGTTGTGATGCATCAAATGGGGTCGTCGATGAATTGATTTGAAGGAGAAATCTTCGACCGACATGCGATTGCTGTTCTTGTATATCGAGAGATATATCGTTGCCTTGAAATGTAATATCAAGCATCCGTAATCGTCGTTAAAGTGAATTCAAATGACCTTACTGATGTAAAAGATTGTAAAAATTAGACAAATACAAACATAACCTTGTTTGTGAAAGATTTCTATTGATACAGAACTCGATGTAATCAAATCTACGACGAAATCTTTCTCCTCCTGAAAGAAAAATACTTCTCTTGAGCGGAAGATTAATTTACTTTGCAATTGAAGTTAATCGAAAACTAAATACTGCGAACAAGATATTTACAGTAGGAAACGTTGAGTAAATAGCTTACAATGTTTCGTCTTCACTTCTGTTCGCGATATGTGGCGAGATCTATCCATACGATTGTTATTGCCTATCTATAGTTTACCGATTTCCGAACGTCTGACGTGCCAAGTTCTCTATGCTTCGCACTTTTCGTCAATACTTTTCGTATTTTTCGAACGTTAGACGTGTCTTCAGGTAAGGCAAATGCTGACTTCATATAACCGTTACGCATCTTTATCAATTAAGGTCAGAAAGTGATGAGACACAACGAATATCATCAATGAAAACTAGAAGATCCTAAGCAATGTGATGCTATTTTGCTCATTTAGATAGATATTTTTGCTTTTGCAAATGTCCGTTCTGGCATTCAACGATGCGAACTCTGTTCATTACTCTTGGTTGCAACGTTTTGCTGGAAATATCATTCGTTACGGTTGTACAAGTCGTCTAAGACATATTGCAATTGTCATGGATGGCAATCGTCGTTTCGCTCGCGAACACAATTTCGAACGTGCACGTGGTCATACGCTGGGCGCAGAAAGATTATTCGACGTATGTCAATGGTGTCATGATCTAGGCATCAATGAATTGAGTGTTTATGCGTTCTCACTTGAGAATCTTAAACGGTCGCAAGACGAAATCGATACATTAATGGATATCGCACGTGTGAAATTGAATGAAATCGAAAAATCTTTGGACAAAATCCATGAACAACAAATCTGCATACGAATTGTTGGAAATTTAGATTTATTACCCGAAGATATACGCCAATCCAGTTATCATTTAATGAAAGAGACGGATCATTACAAAAGCTTCATTTTAAACGTTTGCTTCTACTACACATCTCGAAATGAAATCGCAAATGTTCTACAAGACTTAGCCAAAGGTTGTGAGAAGAATCTATTACAAATCGACGACATTGATGACGATTTAATCATTCAAAGTCTAATTGCATCAACGAGTCAAACAGGTCATCTACCCGATGTTTTTCTTCGTACTTCCGGCGAATTACGTTTGAGCGACTTTATGTTATTACAATGTCGATTTTCCATGTGGATTTTTGCTGATGTCTATTGGCCTGCATTTACCATTTGGCATTTATATTGGATTATTTTACAATACGAAATGAAATCGAAAACATTAGTCAACGTTCAAAATCAATGTAAAACGATTCTCCAACAAACAAAATCGTTGGATGAGCAAAAAATCGAACGAATTCAAGTTTATCTTAGTTGGCTTGAACAACGGAGAATTGAACGAATAAAATTGTAGCTTTCGTCTACTGTTATTGTTGTCTTTGTTATAGAATATATAACGCCTTTTTACGTAATGTTGAGGATGGATGGTATCGAGAATCTGATTCGTTTGAAGGCCGAGTTTTTGGGGCAACTAATTCAGTAATTGCCGTAAATATATAAAAGCGTATTTTGATTGAGATGATCAAATGTTTCATATAGTGTTCGTGCGCAATACAATCGTCAGATATTGCTAAGTTTGCGTGTTAGTAACATCAATGGCTATCTTTGTTTTTACTGCATATACTGATTTAATCCTTCTGACCTATATTTCAATAGATTAACCAAATATCGTGTACCGAGCTCTATGAGTATGATTTCCTTGGAGACCCGAATACAAGCAATGTCTGTATTCCCTACAAAGTACGATTGTTAGTTGAATACTTGATCATTCAAATCATTACGGTATAAATCTAATGTTAACAATGTGCATATGAATATTTATTTATTCGCGAAGTTTGTGTTAATGCTTTTCTCGGCAACACCGTACGCAAATATTAAGTATGATCATCGTCAAATTTATTAATGTTTGTGTAACTTCTTGATCAATAGCATGTAGTCCATGCATTATTCACCATCTAATGTTGTGTTCCGGCAGTACCGATTCTGTTTTCTTCGAGTTCAAGTGTACTGGATGTTTAAACGAAGCATAAGTATCAGATATTAAGGGTTAATTTGTCCTCAGACAACCGGCTTGATTCAGATGTAAAGTACTTCCGTTGGTATCTAAAGCATCGAGATTTAATTAATTGAACAAGGAAATCACTCGTGCGCTCTGCTATTTTATCATTCATAATTCAGCTAGTTCAACGCATTGGCATTGATATTATTTTCATAGAGATGGAGTGCTGTAATTGTCTATATACGAAAGAGTAAAAACATGCGATGAATAAAAAAGTAGATTTATTTTACATTACTATTTTGTGATATCTTTGTTCCAAGCTTTTAACGGTACTGAGAACGAATGCTCATCTTTCTTACATACAATCTAGTCATCAGCTATTTATATGAATGTAAATACTCTCACAAAATGGGTTAAGTACAACGACACGGGTACACACTTCATATGGAGGACGATATGTGCCGATGAGTTAACTCAGTGGAACACAAACATTTCGTAACTGAAGAATATGATTTAAATAATCAAGTTGATCAAGAATCCGAAGCAGAAGTTCAGTCTGTCGAATAATATGCGTTTTCATCTGACAGATTTGTTCTTTCTTTTACTAAATACCAAATGATAATATTCGAATGACGATGGCAAATCTCTACTCGAAATAACCGTTTATATCAATCGAGGACTTGGAAAGATTCTTTGTCAAGTGTTTATTATCTATGCTTTTGAACAAATTAATCTGTATTGGAAAAGATTGTTTGTTTAATTGTTTATTTCTAAATACAATTTAGTTATTCATCGAGTAGATTGACAGAAGAATCTTTTCGATGAGCCTACGGACAAACAATAAAATGAGCCTCGATCGCATCTTCTTAAGAAAATCTTCATAGACGACGAAAAGAAATGATTTATCTCACACGAATCGAAATTATCGTCAATGCCTTGGATTCATCTGACAACAGTAGACTTTCCTGTATAATTTATCAAAAAAACTTGTTCGGCAAACACGAGGCGTTTTCCTTAGATCTTTCTATTTATCGATTCATATACATCCGATTGATTTGCATATGTCCTACTTTCTCCTCGTTTATCTCTTTCAGTTGAGCACTTTTTAAATCAAATTGTAATGATGATGATTTGATTCGTTGTATCTTCCTAGTTTAGTTCGATTTAGTTTTATTCCGACAGTCAGGATTGGATCGTTAAATCTATTGAGCAGAGACGTAAGTATTCATTTTCTTAATGCAAATGATATAGACAAATAAACAAGCGGAAGACGAACAGAGAGAGAGAGAAAAGAAAAAAGAAAAATATAAAAGCAATCTGTCTATATCATTCTTCGCAGTGCGTTGTGACGAGAGAAAACATTTTTCACTCAGACTGAAGTAGGTTTAATGTTATTTATCGAATCGCATGCTGAGGAAACCTTATACTCTCTTGCCAACGTGAAGATAATTTGGAACAAAACATTTGAATTCTAATTAATTCTTTCTGACAGACATTGAGGCTTCGAAACCAGCCGGTTTCTCATTCGTGTGTGAAAAATGTGCAATTAGTTGAATACGTTCCGTTTGTGCCGAGAGCTTTTTTTTTCGTGTCCCGTGAATTGCTTTGCAAATCTTGTTTTCAGTTTATTGTGGACGAGAAGTATAGAAAACGATTGAGACAATTGCGTCGTCTTCTGGGAAAAGCAACATCGATTACGAATAGAAAATTTTTTCTTTGTATGTCCAGAAAAATGAGTTAGTTGACAGGAAGATAAAAGTCATCGATCCATTCAACTGTTACGTTGCAATGACGTGAGTATCTCATGTTATTCACATACAAATCTTTAGTTTCACTTTATTTCATTCTTCCGTGTTTATAGCTCCCATTAGACATTCTGAAATAGACTACTGACATAACATCGCCTGTTTCGCTGTTTTTTAAATTATTTCATAAGATCTCGTTTTACATATTCTTCGTTCGTCTTTTTCTCACCTATGACAATTGCTTGCATCTCATGCTTGCATATTTTATGCCTAATGTCCAATTATTTCTTCTTTGATTTTCTATTCATTCATGATTATGAGGAACAAAGATCGATTAAGACTTGTTTTACCTCGTTAGATATAGAATGACGATATTAAATACTCCTCAATCCTCTGTGTAAACGAGTGCTTCACGGAAGAAAATTCGATAGTATCGCTCGGCAAGGTGTGCAGATTGTTAATAATAAATGTATATATTGCATTATCATGAAGAACGTTCTTACAACCAATTTCTCTGAGCATTTGCTTTTTCAATAATAATTCATCATCTCGGAAAGGAGAAATTATCATAATTTTTTCTTCGTGTAAGTAAAGAATCTCTTTCTCTTTTAAGTAGATTACTTTCTTTCCGATTTAACTACACAACAACATGCAGAATAATAATTCTGCACTCATCGGATCTAATGGATATACTAGTCAACACTAAAAGTACTAATGTCGATTCGAGTTCTTCTTCTTCTCCTTCTATTCACATACGAATCGTTCGTATCTGTTCTATTTCAATGCATTAGTCCGATGAATTCCATGGTGAAGTCATGTAAACGAAACTGTGTCAGCGGGTTATATTTGCTATTCGGATTTTTTTTCCTTCTTAATCTATGTAATTTCTCATTAGAGAGATATAGAAAGATTTTCGACATTTTGTCAGTTGATCGATGAAGCAAGCATTTGCTGTCCCACTGTTTGATAGGTCTTAAGGGAATAGGTTGACAAGAGAAGAAGATGAAGTCAAAATGTAACCAAACATCTGACAAACCGGAGCAACCAGTTTGTTTTTATTTAGTTTGTTCCTATAGTAAGATGTATGAAAACAAGAAGGCTAATGTTGCAAACGAGTAGACAGATAATTAGCATAGTAGATTGCCAGCGACATGTGCTACTTGATTGAATGTAAACGTAGAAGGGAATATTCGTTTTCTGTTGAAGTATTTCCTCTGTAGTGAACAAGTAATTAGATTTAGTTTATCGCCATCTAATTCGAGTATTTGTTGTTTTCGTATTTAATTAAAGGGAAAAAAATCTCGTTTTTACGACTTCTAACAGTCAAAGATAAGGAAGTTTATTGCTTTCGTTCATCAATCATTCCGAAAGGAAATAACATTGAAAACTAAACGATCATGAAAACTCACTTTATCTCAAAAATCGTTTCCGCATCTTTCTCTTCTCTTCATATTATCATCGTCTCTATTTCTTCTCTTTTGTTCTCGTCTTTTGGCGCATGGTCTTCAGTGAGTTCATCAACAGAAGAAAAACTCGAAGAAACTTTCTTTTCCTCCTTCTCCTTTTTTTATATACTCCCTGCTCATACCATGTATGTTTCCTTTTCTTTCCATGAAAAAGTAATATCACCATCATCATTACAGGCTGACTCGTCGACAACTATTTGCTAAATCTCATTCACATTGACATTTTTTATGAAAAGAAAACTGATGATTTGTTTTTCAAACTGAACATCAAAAGCGCTTTTTTCCTTTCTCGCTCTTTCTCTCATCAGATTTAAGTTTCTTTTTCAATAGAAGAAAAAGAAGAAGACAAACTCGTCTTCTGCTTTTACTGAACATGCATGAAATACTTGCGTGATTTAACTGACAAGTTAGATAAATATAAACAATGACTCCTATTACATCTGACAGTTCGGGTGTAGTATTGAATGTAAGATTAGAAGTAGAGAGAGAGAGAGAGAGAGAGAGAGAGAGTAGCAAAAAGGAAAATTAAAAATCTAATACGTTTTTTTTATCGTTGTGAGAAGTAAGTCGTCAAAACAGCGAGTATCTCTTTTAAGATTTCCCCTGCTGTTTAGTTTAGTAACCGCATCACAAGAAAAGAAAATCAGGACTTTACCTTCGAAATCTTTCTTTCAGATATGTTTACGTGAGGGTAACGATGGCAACGGAAAATAACCATCTCGACGTCGTGGAGTTGAATGTTGGTGGTGTAGCATACGCAACCACGTTGGGTACGTTACAACAAGCCGAACCCGATTCACTGCTGACATCAATAATATTGTCAAATACGTCTGAAATTCGAGCTGTATTCGGACGTGACAGTAAAAACCGTATTTTCATTGATCGTGATGGTGTTCTCTTTCGCTACGTATTGGATTATTTGAGAAATCGAAAACTATCATTACCCGAGAATTTCTCTGAGCGTGATCGACTTCGCAATGAAGCTGAATATTACCGTCTGACTGGCATGAGTCAAGCGCTGGGACAAACACGTTCATCTCACAGTGCCAATGGTAAACATTCCAGTGAAAATCTTATCTCTAAAGCAGCAACAATTAATTCGATTGATCTTAATTCATCGATGTTGAGTTCTTCTCGGGGACTACCTGTTCCTCGTTCCAATTCCGGATATATTGTCATCGGTTATCGTGGTACTTTCGGTGAGTAACAGACAAATCATAAAATATTAAGTCATCAGTAATCCTATTTTCTCTCTTTGTTCTTAAAAGCTTTTGGTCGGGATGGCTTAGCTGATGTCAAATTTCGAAAAATCTCACGTATACTCGTCTGTGGGCGTGTGCACCTTTGTCGTGAAGTCTTCGGCGAAACATTAAATGAATCTCGGGATCCCGATCATGGTCAAACAGATCGTTACACATCACGATTCTTTCTGAAACATACATTTCTCGAACAAGCATTTGATATGCTTAGTGAAGCTTCATTCTCCATGGTAAATTCATACGATCCGAGATAAAGAAAAACACACAAAATGTTCTCTTTTCTTCTTTTTGTAGCTCGGTTGTGCAGCCAGCGGTTGCAGCAATTCAACTAGTGAAATCGGAAAACAGACTGATAACGAAGAAAATCGTTGGTTACACTACAATGAGTTTGTCTTTTATCGCAGTTGATTTTCCTTTTTCGATAGCTGTTTCTGTACACTCCGCGCTTTTTTCCTTGTCATTCGATTTCACACATGTATGTACACTTGGTATGCAAGATTTTTATTTTCTTCGACTCCCATGATCGATCTATCTTCTTCTAACCAACAAGACAAATAAATAAAGAGAAGTTGTTTTTGTGCTGTATAACTAGATGAAATCTCTCCACAATATCAGTGAATAAACATATCAAATAGCACATAGTAAAGACATGCTGTTAAACTCTAAGTGACATATATGGTAAAATATCGAACATTTCTACAATTAGCAAGAACACTCTGCACTGTTATTCTGTCGACCAATTGAAATCGATTGTTATGTGTCGAATAATTTGCTCTGGTGCTTCGATATAGACATTCATTCTTCTTGAATAAATTGAGATTTTAACTGCAATTAAACACTGTTATGTGTAGGCAGAGGTTGTTTTTCATCTCATCAACATGAAGTTGTCCTAAATACACTTCGACAGAAAGAATATCGAGGACTCTTACGGTCGCTCATTCACTCGTCGGTTGAGTATTGTTCAGTGCTCTATACAGGATTATTTCCACATGAAGAGTGAAGATGTCATCTTTGTGTCATCTTTGATGATGAAACAAGTAAAAACATCTGAAGAACTGCATCCTCAACGTGAATTATTGGCTTTCCTATGAGCCGTGGAAAGAGACAGAACATTGTATGTTATTGCTGGTGGCGTTTTAAGGAAAAATACAGAGAAATATGTGTTCAATTTTGTTTTGTTTTTTCTTTCTTATTTGCTTCGAATACATGAACGATCAAAACAGAAAACAAACAGAGCGGTTTTTATCGGATGTTCACGATTCCCGCACGATGATGAACTGCTCTTGTTTAGAATCGTAGTTTTTGGAAGAACCATTTGTGTTTGCCTGTTTTATAACTAAATAACAAAGAAAACTGTTGATTGAAGTTCACTAATTTGCACATTTACCGTTCTTCAAATTTCTCTTTGACGTCTTGGAGAGCTTTTCGTCGAAGGCCAGCATCACGGAAAACTTCTTTATTGATTAAACTTTTTTCAAAGTTAATGTCAACTGTGTATCTAAATCAGAACATCCTTGTCTTTATTTTCACCTGCGAAAAATCGTCCATTCTTACCGGGTAGCCATCAAATGATTATAATTCACAACTTTAACGAAAGGTTTAATTTTGTTTCGACGTGCTTGTTTTTTCTTTCCCATACGTTTGGTTACCTTTCGTGGATAACGCGAGATACCAGCGACAAGTGCATGACCGTAACCTCGTTCATTGCTGCCTTCATCATGTGGCTAAATGAGAAGCTTTTCCAAGAAAAATCGATTTCGAAGAAGATGTATTTACTTTGATGACTACTGCCTTACGACCGGCGTATCGGCCGGCTAAGACAATAACAACTTTTTGACTTTTCATAATTTTCACCATGGTTGTAACGATGATAAAATCTGAAGCTAGAAGAACTAGAAGATCTCTTTTTCAAGAAAAGTATAAAAAAAGAAAACAACAACAACTGGTTAAAGTAGGTATATGAATGACTGACTGACGACTGGTAAAACCGTTTGATTGGTCAACATTTCTGGCCTGTCGGCCTCTGTTTAACAAACACGGAGGATTCGCTGCCAATATTCGATTGATCCGAACATCAAACCAATGAAAACACGTCGTTAATAGAATATTATTTTTCATCGAGAAAAGAAGATTGATTAAACTTATTTCATGCCGATTATAACTCCTAATTTAGCAAGACTATTCTTCTTACCAAGTTATGGGTAAAGCGAAACTCGGTTAGGATTATTGGACAAGAATAATCTATACTTTAGTTATACACAGTTTTTAACTTATCTCGGTATTCGAAATGGATACGATCGAATTGACAATACTGTGCTTGTTGGTATATTGCCGACGATTGCTATGCAAAAGTATCTGATTGAACATGAGAAAGTCAATGCGGTTATATCAATGAACGAAGATTATGAACTAACGTAAGTGTATTGTTTTGAATAGAACACTTTCAGTCAGTTCAAGATATCAGGTTTCTATGTTTACATTTTGACAATTTCTATAAATAAAGACCACCTGCTGAGTTTTCTACAGTCATCTTACTAGTTTTACCTGTCGCTCTTAGGTATGTTTCCGATCAAAGCCTCTGGACTAAACATGAAATTCAGCATCTACGTCTACCAACTGTTGATTTCAACAATCCCAAAGCTGAAAATCTCTTTCACGGCGTAGAATTTCTTCGAACTGTACGTCAAGAGAACAAAACTGCTTACATACATTGCAAAGCAGGTCGTCAACGAAGTGCGAACCTAGCGGCATGTTATCTTATCGACACATATGGTATGACACCTGAAGAAGCTGCTCGCCGTATGCGATCCATTCGGCCAAGTACCATATTTGGTACACGCGAAATGAATCGTCTGCATGATTTTGTTCGACTTTTGCAGGAAGAAAATGAGAAAAAACAGAAAGAAAATAAATGATCGAAATGTCGTTTTTATACGCTATTTTAGATGAGTGTTCTCTCACCCAAAAAGAAGAATGTGTATTTGGACAAAGTGAATGAAAATCTATCAACGTTTTTCCGAACAATTGAAAAGTATCAGCAAAATTTAAATGAATTAAGTCAGCTTGCCAATGGAGCAACGGTGCATATCAATGATATCGAGAGAATTCTTGGTAATAACGACGACGACGATGATGGTGATGATGATGGTGGAAATGGAAGTGTCGAACGACAAGAACAAATCTTATCCGATCAAGAAAAAGAACTTCTTACAGGCGGAAAATTGTGCGAACTGAATCAGAATTTAAACATCTCAATGCGTGAAATTCGACAATCTTGGTAAGACCATCGTCATAGCAGATCAAATCTTCCACGAAGAGTGTTGCTGATTTTCTATTTCTTTAATCTATAGGAATACTCTTGAAAAACAGGGTGCCGCGATATTGAAGTCAGCCAGTCAATTACCCAAACTTATTCAACTATTTTTGGACACAACGAAAACTGATGCAGATTTCAATGATCACCATTTTCGATCGGAACTCGTTGATCTTACTGAACAATTTCCAATCATTGGTCGATTCTATTACGATTTGTAAGATGAACACTTTCGTGCTAATTCAACAGAGAGAATTCACTTTGTTCTTTTATCACAAAAGGTGTTTAGAAATTCAGGTGTTGTTACTTGACCTATCAAGTTTGAAATCTGTGAAACATCTCGCTACTACCCTAGAGTTTCTTTCTTCACGATCCGATTCTATATCAGGTAGATTATCGAACGAAGATTACATTACAATTCATTATCTATATCTTCTAGTACCTCTTCAGATCATTCGTCAAATACAAATGAAACTAACATGAATCTTTCTTTTCAGATGTAAACTAAGCGATGACGAGTTTTTTACTTAAAAATCTACGAGCGATCGCCATTGCAAGTGTGGCATTCACATCATCATATTTCAGCGGACATGAAGCTAATTATCAAATCAGAACACGATTCTTATCGTTAGTACAACTCCAAGCTGCGGAATATGTAAATGAACGCGAACGCATCTTTTTAGTGAATTCAACTCGATTTTTCAGGAACGACGAAATGCTGGATTTGCGCGCAGTCGAAAACGAGAAATTCAGTTTGATGATGATGATGACGATGACGACGACGAAGCAAAAGCTAAAGATAGCGATGACGCTGATAAATTCAACGAACATGGTTCAAATCCACGTGAACGACGTTTTCGAGAATTTGCTTCGGTGGAATATAATGATGAAATCTATATGGTATGTTCTTTGATAAACATGAATGAAGGCGAAATCAGATAGTTTCATTTAGACTCCAGTGGATTTTCTTGAATCTGTTATAGCTGAACGACCAAGACGTATGAATCGGGACATTGTTGATTGAAAGAACATTGTCTCGTTTGTTCATTAGCTCGTATTGGTCGTCGACAATTGACCGATGAAAAAGTCGATTCGATTCTGTATAGTACTCCGCCTAAACACCGAGGATCAACACGATTCTTTCGAAACCTTGAAGATGCTGGTAATACATCTGTTATGAATATCATTTTCCGTAACTAATGCTTTCTTCACCTAGGCTTAATTTCATTTTCCGAGTATTTGTTTCTCTGGGTGATTTTAACAAGTACGCTGAAACATGTCTTTTTTTTCCTTTGACATTTTGTTTTCTAGAACCACATACACAATTTGAAATTGCATTTGCCATGTTTGATACAGACGGTAATGGAACAGATTAAGTTCTATTCAAATAGTAGAAAAGAATTTTCATAGCTTGAATAGACAAATAACAGCAATTACCTCGATTTCATATGCATCAATAGACTAACTCATTCGTAGGCTAATTATCTTTTGCTTTGCCGTTGAGGATCATCTTGTTACTATCTTAGTCAAGACAGAACTGAGTTTTTCTTCAAGTATTGACAAGCACGAGTGGAAATGGACTGCCTTTTAATTTAGGTAATCAGCTGGTTGACAAACATGAGTTTCTCGTGGTATATACGAACATTTTCTTTTGATTTCATTTCTCAATCGTTTCAAATCTAGTTAGGAAAAGTCATGAGTGACAAACGAATGTTACGTCGACAGTCAGCTAAAACAACCACCAGTGCAAATGCCAATTACTCCCATGTAAGTGATTTCTATGTTTCGTCTAGTAGCTTCTTCTTGCTAAAGTAAATATTGTCGTACAAAGAAAAAAAGAATTCGATGTTTTCGTATGTATATTTCATCATTTGCATGCATGTATGTGTCTTTAGTTTTTAAAATCATTCTTCAAAGTACCGAAGAAGAATTCAATAAAAACATCGTTTATTAAAGAATTAGATGTCGTACGTATTGACTATACATGTACAATTATAACTAAAGAAAAACATATCTGTTTGCACGGTTGCGACTTCTTTTCATGCTTGATGATTAAACTCACATGGTTTTTGAAAATTTAACAGAATGACTATTGTTCAGTTGCATTGCAATGTTCGGCGATTTACTTCTGCTTTCGCATTTTTTTAGGTACATGAAAACAAACAAACAGATACGACCTTGCTCTTACATTTCTTTGGCAAAAATGGTCGAGATACGTTGAACTATACGGAATTCAAACGGTAAATGTCGATTTTTGGAGAATATATTGACTTAATCAATCGATTTGAATAGATTTATGGAAAACTTGCAAACGGAAGTATTGGAGATTGAGTTTTCAGAGTTTTCGCATGGCTTCAAAACTATATCGGATTTGGACTTCACGGAAATACTTTTACGATATACAGATTTTGATAAAGAAACCAAAAAGGCGATTGTGAAAAAAGTGAAACGAACATCAGGAAATGCCGATGTACGTAGAAGACATTAGTTTTCAATAAAGTCCATGTGTGTCTCATAGGGTATTACATTTGCACAATATAAACAATTTTTCACATTTCTGAATAATCTCGAAGAATTCAGCATCGCGATGCGCTTTCACCAACTATCGAATAAACCAATTTCTCAAGGTAAATGTCAATGATCTATCGTCGGATTTGACAACTTGTGTCGTTTTAGCCGAATTTCAACGAGCTGTGAAAATTTCAACAGGCTTCGAGCTTGAGACAGATATTATTGGCCTTATCTTTCGAATATTTGATGCTGACGATGATCAACACTTGTAAATATCAATCTAGGTAACTTGCGGTCTTCATTCTTCGCGATATTCTAGGAGTTATGATGAGTTCATGGCCGTGATGAAAGATCGCCTTTCCCGAGGTTACCAAGTAAGGTTTCATTTCTTCATTAAATTCAAACAAATTGCATAAATTTCTTCTAGACTACAGACATTTCTGAAAATTCGGGTTCGAAATTCGAACAATTCAAACGTTGTTTCCGTGAACGAGCCAAGTATGACTCTCCGCCTGCTTTAGAATAAATCGAAAAAACTTGCCTGTTCCGTGTTTTGAAGTGCTTCTAGTTATTGCATGCTTGATTAAAAAAATGCCGCTCACATCATATATGCATCCTATATATATTCTTTAGAGAATACTGATCAAATTATGTTGATTAACTTGAAATTAACGAAAAGAATGATACAACTTCCATATGATTTAATGATTTAATGATGTTTGGCTCAAATGTAAAAAAAACAGTTTATCACAAAATGTGCTTTTTTGTTATTTATTCTCTGATATTTCTATGGCTTTTATTCTGTCTAGATCGACAATTAATGAAGACCGCGTCTGGCTTTCTCTATGGAAGAAAGAAATGCTCCTTTAGTTTTGCTAATCATTTTCGTGTTGTCAATTGTTTCTTTTCACGTTTTATTGAATATATAGACATTATTTGGTCGCTTTTTTTTTCAGATGAAAACATCTCTTGCCAATGGATAATGAATTAAATATATTACGAGTGCCATTTTCAAACGAAACGTATGAAACCCGACTTTATTTGACGAAAAATCCTCTTTCAAATCTATTTCAGGCGTGTCGTGCCACTTTCCGAACCGACAAATGTTAACATCGATACATATTTATCATCATCATCGACATCGCTATCAGAAATCGACGACGGACAACAACAGCACCAGCAACAACAACAATCAGATGATACACCTGGACCAACCATTAAAAAAAAGCGAACTAAGTGGCACGTCTATGACACAGTGGCGAAGTTTTTGTTGAAAAATCGATTTTATCTAACGGCTTTAGAATTTTATACAGAATTGTTAGAGAACGGTTATGATTTACCTCGTCTGCGCGAATATTTTTCTAATCCAGCAAATTTCGAAGGCTCGTCTTCAGCTACCATAACAAAACAATCGTCATTCGTTCGAAATCTCAGTCATTATGCTGACGATTCTGTTTCGTTGGGCGGTGGTGCAGGTGGCAATGGTGATTTCCTGTGTCGAACATCCAGCAGTCAAACATTCGATTCGACTTCAATTGATAATATCACGCGGTATTCCGAAGATATCGACTGGAATAATGGAAATGGTAGTGGTGGACCAATTACAAGTGCTTGTGCAGGTGCTGAGTTAAAATTCAACGATGAACGTGTCGCCGTGTTAGAATTCGAATTACGCAAAGCACGTGATACAATACAAGAACTACGACATACATTAACCTTTGATTCCGCAGATGATCAACAACAGCATCAGAAAAAGATAGACGAAAGAAACGGCAAATATCAAAGTACACAAAATATCTTTTCGACATTTGAAAAATTCTTTATTTTTAGTCAATGCATTCTCTTCTGCAACGTCACAAACTATACTTCCACCCGGATTAGGAGCCCGTCCATTTGAACGTCGTGCATTGAACTATTTGGTCAATGAATATCTTCTTACCAATAATTATAAATTAACCAGTGTGACATTCGGAGAAGAAAATGATGCATCCGATCTAGAAGATTGGGATAGCGTGGGTCTAAATTGTTCCCGACCACCAGATTTAACTCAACTATATCGCTGGTATTGCCATCAATTGAATGTTGATCACGAAAAGCCCACGCAAGAAGACTTTTCAATGTCTGTCAACTTTGATGACAGTCTTCATCAAGACTATCAAAACCTGAAAGATACTGCTCAAAAAATGGTATGTGAGATCGAATGAGATGATTTCGTTGGAGAGAAATTTTGTTCTGTTTTTGTTACAGCAACTCGATCTAGTCGAATACAATAAACGAATTAATCGCATCGAAGAAGAAAAAGCAAGTTTCATCGATGAAATCAATTCTTTGCAGCATGAAAAGAAAAACCTGCTTATTCAATTACAAACTTTACAAAATCGTTTAGTGTCCGATGAATCATCAAACGAGGTTAAAATCGACGATACAATACACTTACAATCATCTCGACATGTTCCTCAAACTTTTCAACGTATCTTTCAACGACAATCTCTATCATATCATGCCAGTGAAGATAAACATGATGAAGATATTGAATTAAATCATGATTTTGAACAGAAAACATTCGAAGAAATCATTCAAGAACTGAATACACTTTCACTCGATCAACAAGACTTATTAGACTTAATTGTGCGAACAGTTACAAAGATCGGTTTGCATTTGAGTGGCTACAGAAAACTCGTAAATAATCGACGGTTTCTTTGAACGCTGTTCATCTAGTTCGTTTTAGGAGCTTGTCCCTTTGTTAATCTGTGCGGCAATTTTACACCCCAAGCACACGGAGCGCGATCGTCTACTGAAAACTCTGTTCAATCTTTACAAAAAACCGTCATATAATCAGCGGCAGGTCCTATTACACGCTTGTCTCAGTTTTGCCAAGCAAAGTGGTCCATTGCGTGTACATGCTGAACTTTTGCCTCAATGTTGGGAAAATTTGAATAGCAAACTCGACGAAAGGCGCTGTCTTATCGCCGAGGCATGTGGGATCTTGACACCACATTTACCGGTAATCATCATCCTATGGATAGAGTCATTTCATTGAGCTTCTCTGTGCTCTTTTAGCAAGATATTCGTGTGAGTTTAATCTTTTCCATGTTACAACAAATGCTTGCCGAAGACAAATGTGATCAAGTTCGAGCTGTGTGTAGCAAAAGTCTTGCTATGGTTATTAATGAGATTGATGATGAATCTCGGTTAACTCCAGTAAAGTTTTGTTTTGATTTCTGCGAGAAAAAAAAACATGTTGTTCTCTTCGTATTTGTAGTGCATTGAGCTGTTAGATCGATGTTTATCGGACACATCAGATGTAGTACAATCAACAAAACAATATCTTTTACCATCCATTGCAATATGGTGCCTCGAGTTGGATAAAATTTGTGATGTTTTCATTGAGCATTATCTTGTTAAATTAGAAACACTTGTACAAGTTCGTATTTTCTTCATCGTTATTTCCGTTCCGACGAATTCTTTGTTCTAGAATATTCCAAATTCATCAGCTATTGATAACCAACGTTTTAATCAATTAGTTCTTATCTTAACTGATTTGATTGTGTTTATGTTTGCATCAACGTTGAAAGGTATGACAGTGCCAGACGATCTTCCTTCGACAACATCCATCTCACGGATTCTACCTGATTCCACATCATCCGAATTCTACCAGTTGCATGTCATTCTGTCTGCGACAAGTGAAAAATTACTCAGTCATTACGATCAATGTGCAATGAATGGGGAATTTCCATTTGCCGAACGAATACATACGTTTCTCGACAGTTTGTAAGATGAGAAAAAGAGGAAAAGTTCAGTTTTGACTTGCCCTTTGTCTTCGACTAGCTTAAAACGTTCGTTTGATGCAATGGCAGTGATTGATATATCGAATGGAAAACTAATTCATACTTCCAGTGAGTTTATCAAAACAATGAGTCGATATTTTGGAAGAAACTTCTGGAAATTAAAAGTAAGAAAGCTGAGATCATTCGATCGAGATTGAAATAAACATATTCGTCTAGATTAAGCCATTGTATTCTACATCCAATCCTTGTACACTTCAAGAGGAAGGTCTTCGTAAAGGTATATTATCTTTAAGATCTCGATTTCAATTGAAACATTTGCCTCTTTGAAGCTCCTTTCGTTTTATATGCTACCGGTGTTTTATGTTCGTGGACAACGGAACAGGAACGAGCTGAATTAACTCAATACATATACGATGCACTTCTGTTTGCAGCTAATCAAAAACTACCGATCAACACTTTGCAAGCCATTTATGCAGAAGTTGGGTAAATCACATACTTTTTTATTTAGATTACCTTGAGAAACATTCGTGAACTATTAACCTAGATCTGATATTAATTTTCAAGATAATTTATTGAATATTCTTCGTGATTCTTTAACCAATACCAATTCTCAAGTTCGATTGTACACTTTACAACTGTTCAATGTAAGTTTCCTCTTCGTCAATGAAAAGCGATCTTAGTTTTATCGCATTTGTATAGATTACACTACCTTTGGTTGATCATTCAATAATATCTTACAAAATCTTGCCTGCGTTGATTACGCTTGCATCTGACGAAGATATGTAAGTCATTTCGAAGGTGGGGTGATTATGTACAGTTTGTTTTCTTAAATTATAGAACTGTACGAACAGCAACCATACCGGTATTTGGATCAATTATCGTCCAATGTTCGGAGTCTGAAGTAAGCTGGTCAAGATGCGAGGCAACCTATTCGTTTGATAATTGATCTCGTTATTAGATCTTAGAACGAGTTTATGCTCAATTTCAAATGTTTGACAGTGATACAACATTTCGTGATGAACATCGCGTTCAAAGTGAATTCATTAAGACATTTACTCAAATCGCACCGCAAACCGAAAGTAAATTTCGAGAAGATTTCATTCTTCCGTTTTTGGCATTCATCGCCTCGCAAAATTCGCAACCACAATCAGAACGCGGCCAAGCTAAGCGTCTGGAAATTGCAACTTATCTATTCGAGGCATACAGCGCATTGTCATGCTGTTTTCACTCGGGACAATCGATATTGAATAGTTTTCTTCCTGGCCTGTATTGTTTACGAGTTGACTTTGCACAATTACGACCTGATAGTGTTGCTGTACTAGACTCCATTATCAAAGATCTCGAACATAAACTTGAACAATACCGACAGGATAGGTATGTTGGCGGTAGTGTTTTGATCGAAAAGAATCCTAAGATGATTGTATTTAGCTCATTGTTAATCGGTGGTGCCAGTCTCAATCAAGAAAATATTCGAGGGCGAATGCTCAAAGGTCTAACTAATATTCGCGATTCAACGGAGAAATTAACTTATCGATTTATGAAAAAGAAATAGATATACTTATTAATTCGCTTATTTTCTTCCGCTGAGCTTTAATGATCAAATTGCAATGTTTTATATCATAATACTCACATGACACATGTATATCCATACCGTATTTTCTTTCGATTGCTGTATATTTGTGTTAAAATCTTTTTTTCTTCTCTTTATTGCAATGGAAATGCATATTTAAGAACGACAATGGATGATTAATCTCAGACATTCCTTACTAATCAATTCAAATAAATAAATATCTTACGATAATACATACACAAGATTTACTCAGTAGAAAGATCATTATACTGATATAACAGTGCTATCGTAGTATCAAAATTGAAAGCTGATCTGGAGTACTCAACTATATACGTATGATTTTGCCGAATTTCGGCCGGACGACACAAAATAGTTCGGTTCCAACTCTCCGTAGATCCACCACCGCATATATCTTTCATCGCAAAACGTTACATTCTCAGTATTCTTTTCATTCTTTTTCTGATCCCTAGAATAAATTATATAAGTGGTCGTGTGCTGCATGACATATTGTATCATTTTTAATGGCATCCAAATTACGAAATAGAAAAAACCAAGATCCGCGACATCCAACCAGACAGTCAATAACTGACGTATTTCAACAGAGTAAGTAAAGTTGTATTAGAAAAAGACGAACTTTCATCTAAGAATCAAGCTAGTTTGAAACAAACTACAAAATAGATATAAAAATACAAAAAAAGGCGAACAAAACCAGAAACAAGGCGAATATCGAGAAGAAGATAGTGAGCTCGATAAAAAATATTAGATCATTCTTGATGAAATTATGAGCTGGTGTGCAGCAACAGAAGATTTGGTGAACTATCTAGGCTGTCATATTCCCAATAGAGAATTTCCGAATTTTTTAGCTTTGGAAATTTCTTTCTGACTATGTCTTCATACTATTTCCTGGCAATCGCTATAATGCATCATATGTAACTTTTCTTCTGTATCGAATAATTCCTTCTGACAAATTTCTGCTTCACTCGTTCGTAATTTCGCGCACCTAACAGCTAACAAAGTGCGTTGTCTATAAACCCTTTAATTCGTCTTTTATATTACATGCTCAGATTATTCGATAAATGTGCATCCATTTTTGCACTTATTTTCTTCATCAGTAAAGTCTAAAATCTCCGAAAAAATATCAACTAGCAAAACTTTCGATATGAAAACAGCTATCGATTCATGTGATCTCTCCAGTCGGACTTTTTATCAATGTGCACGTGCACGGTAACTTGACAATTGGCATTTTTCTCAGCTGTATACGGTTCAAAGTCGATAAATAAGATATGGAATTGAGTTCCACTCGGAACGACCGAAACGAGAGTTGGAATACACTCGTGTGCGAATGCGTGTCCAGGATATCCTACATATTAGAATCATTCTAAAAAGAATTTCGTATTTAAGCGAGACGGTATGCCTCAGAACCTACGCGATAACGGTATGAGACGGTATTAAAATTTTGCAATGCCACCGGTCTCTGCTCTGTACATACAATATGCAGATGTACACTACCGAACATTCGAACTGTTCCGTTTAAATAAAACTGCTATAGTCAACATTAATTCGTTTTCATCGTAAACTCGATGAGACACTTATCTTTCGTTTGCAAATGTTGCTTTTTTTCTAGTTGTAAATAAACATGTCAATACGACGCTCCTGGCAGATGTTCGGACAGTTACGACATACGAAGCAAGCTACAGTGAGTAACGTGAGCGTAGGAGTAGATTATAGAATATTTACTTCTGTTCATATTCTAGTAAAACGGATGACAAAAACTAATGCTAAGTTCAATGTAAAACGAATACGTTTGTATGTGGATAATCCTTATATTGCTCGCCTACAAAAGAAATCGTTCCAGCTTTCGAAAGCACTTTCATGAGCTCTCTATATCCATAACACATATGAAACCAGTATCGAAAATTTTTCTCTTTCACGTTCCTATTATAAACAACTATTTCTTACTTTGACGATCGTCATCAACTATGGTCAACAACCGACTTATTACTTCTCCTGCTGGCTAGCCACCATTCTCTTTTCCCTTTATTCATCTTCGTTTTCCCGGTTTTTGGAGAAAAAAAAACTTCAAGATGATAACAGACGATCATGTTAATCTACTTGGTTGATCGATATCGAGACTAAAGTTTTCGTAGTAGAGATAGAACCTTCGGATTGAAGAGTGATATAGACTTTCTCATAACATCAAGTTCTTGATGAAATGATACTTTTCAATAGAGGATTAAATTCTGAGCCCAACACAGGCATATTTAGGTACAGCACATGTTCACAGTCAAATCTGAACAAGAGATACTCAAGCATAAAGCGAACTTGACTAGCGCGGATTCTGCAAGTGTTGAACAATATCACGAGATTTTTAGTATCTCATAGAAGGTTAACATCGATCAGATTGGTGATTATCGATATTGAACTTCAGGTTCTTACAAAGCACACAGATTATCGATATGAATCTGGCCCTCTTACTCGTGGTTTATATGAAAAGAGCAAAATATAAAAACAGGATGTCGTATAATGTAAAAGCGATGTGAACACGACAATAAGAGGATGACAATACGATAATTTTTAGTCATTCGGCTTCTGCGCGCCGTCAATAGTTTTATATAGTTCTGAGTAATTGTGCGATAACAGTTTTCTTAAGTGTTGCCCGTATGTTTGTGGTTCATAATTAGGTGTTTTATCTGCAGGACACCATTGTGTTCCTAGATCACGCGTGTCTATGGTAAAATCTAGTTGAGGATCCCAGAAAAAGACAATGGAATAACGATCACGACCCGAACGATTAATCACACGATGTGGAGTAGCTCGAAGACAATCGTTTGTCCATTTCGATGCACTATCGCCCAGATTAATTAGAAGCGCTGTTTCACCGTTCGATGATACCATGTTTGGAGCGGATATCCACTCACCAGTGGGCGTTTTGACGTCTAAACCGCCGACATCATCTTGAGCAAGGATGGTTAGAAAACCATGGTCACAATGTGGTGCACTTCCAAAAACACCTTCAGGAACAGGTGAAGGTTGCGGCGGATAATGAAGCATACGTAGACCAATCGATGGTCGTTGAAAATGAGGAGCAAATCGATTGAAATCAGCTTTACTAGCAGCGAAGAATACTTTCGTCAATTCCAAGGCTAGTTTTTCTAATTGATGGTAATATGCAAGAACAGCTTCGCGGAATTCTGGCATACCTTGTGGCCACTGATTTGGACCTTGTAAATATCGACTGTATAATTCTTCTTCTTTCAAATTAGCAGGTCCTTCGAAATGTTCATGATTAACAATGAATGATTCACTTTGATTTGGAGCTTTGACAGTTGCTACCGTGTCTTCAACTAAAACACCTTTCGATTTCGATTCCGATTTGACCTGATACGATGCCATCGGAAGATACCCTCGATGCCACTGATTTAAGCGTATTTTATTTTTTTCGTCGAATGGTAAAGCATGAAAACGACGATGTTGAGCAAACACATCGGTAATGATCGACTGTGGGATCCGATGGTTGATCACATAAGCAAAACCCATCTCTTTGAAAGCATAGAGAAATTCTTCGACCACTTTAGATAAGTTCGTAGGAGAGGAAGAGTCCCCGAATAATGGACTGAGATCGATTATTGGAATGGTCATCTAGAAGTACATAGTCTTACCTATTGATGGTTTTATATCAGAATTGGTTGTAGTCTATCGATCGGCCTTTTTCGCATAGATAGTGATTCGATTTATTTCGTATAAACAAACAAAAAATACTGTTCAGGTAAAAATAAAGACTACTTCTACCGTAAAATTGCGTCATTGTATACAAAAAGAGAAAGGAAAAATTAAAGGGATGAGAATAATGCATAAAATAGTGGGAAAGAAAGTCGTTGAATATGTTTGTTTTTGTGGCGAAGAACTATGAAATTTTGCATATATCTCTGTGCGCACTCACATCGAGATTTGGAGTGTCTGATGGCTGAGCAGTAGCGTTGAATAGGTAGTTGATAATAACTCGAATCATATAGCCAGTCGAGCCA